TTGAGAGGTGCTGATCGATATTTTGTCTATCTTATCTTTTTATTTTTTTTTTTGGTTTGCCTTTTGGTGAGGGACCAAATTTCTCTTCTTTTTTGTGTCGAAATTTTCGAATTTATTTGAATTTTTCATTAAAAAAAAAGTGTCATCTTGTTAGTCCTTTGTTTGATATTTTTTCGGTTATTACCTTTTGTTAAGGGGCCGAATTTCTTTTTTGTTTCGAATTTTGAGTCTTGTTTGGGGGTTCGATTTTTCGAATTTTTCCCCTATTATTTTCGAATTTTTTTAGAGTAAAAAAAAAAGAGAGAGAGAGAATCATGATGTTTGAGCAATTAGTTGAGTGGGATCAAGAGGATCTCGAATACCTCGAAGGGTTGGAGAGAAGTTTGACCCCATGGGAGCAAAATTATTTGGAAGAGATGTACGGGAAAAAGAAGGAGTATGAAAGACAACTCAAAATCATGGAGGAAGAGCAACAAGCCGAGGCTGATGAGAAGTTCCCAAAATCATGCGAGCAAGAAGCCAAAGTGGTCGAGATCGAGGAAGAGATCTTGCTCGTGTACGAGGAGGGCCTTGGCAAGGAGATGTGCGTGGAGGACGAAGCGATCGAGCGCGCGAATGATGTCCATGGTGAGGTCTCGGTCGAGCTCGAAGAGTTCAAGACCGAAGGAGACCAGGTAATCGATGTTGCAAGCGAGATCATGGTCGAAGAGATGTTCGAAGTCGAGATCTTGGCCATGGTCGATGAGGATCGTGAGTGGGATGTGTGCGTGATCGAAGAAGAAGTTCCGGAGTTTTGGATGGTCAAAGATGAGTCCTTGAGGACAAGGACATTCTCAAAGGGGGCGGGAATGATGCGGAAGTGGGTTTCGAGCCCCGACAACGAGACGGTCAATAGGCAGGTAATATTTGGGCGCAAGAAAGAGCGCATTAGAAAAGGGCGAGAATACGCGCATTGGCGTAGACACGGATGGCGCAACGGGACAACAAGCGATGGCGCACCTTGGGCGTGGGTTGAACGAGGGGCAGCGCTGGGCGCACGGGGATGCGCGGTAGGCGAGCAGGCCGCGGGCGTTGGTGGTACGCGCGGAGCTGTGGGCGACGGACGTGCGGAGCGCGCTGGGCGCGTGGTTGGTGCGTACGCGGGTGAAGGCCTAGGATTGGCGCGGCAACACACGCGCAAAGAAGCCAGCTGGGACGGGGCGTGCGCATGGGCGCACGAGGGCGACGTGGGCGATGGCCTATACCGCGTAGGCATAGGAGTGCTGGACGACGAGTACGGGGCACATGGCGACACGTGCGAGGCACAATGCGAGAACAAGCAGGCAAGCCTAATCCTCGTAGGAATAGGCAAGGCGCGAATACTAACCCTCGCAGGAATAGGAAAAGCAGTTGAGTGCCGGAACGCGCGTGAAATATCGGTGACGGAAGTAATCCTCGGAAGATCAGGAAACGTAACCGGGATCATATTCCTAGTAGGAATATGAATAGCGGATATGGGCTCAAAGCATAATCCTACAAGGAATAGGAGTGGCGCAGCAAGCACGAGAGACCTAGTCACCAAAGGACTAGGTGAGCATGGCAGCGACGCGCGAGACGTGGCACACGGACGGGCAGCATGCCTATGCGCGGTAGGCATAGGCGAAGGGCGCGGGCGGCGCGCGCATAGCGCGCGAGAAGTGAGGCGGCCGAATGAAGTTGGGGCGCAAGACTTGGAGTATTCTAAAATGGTTTGGAGTGCAAGGCAAGGAATTGGATAGCAAGTCAAGATATTAGGAGATATAGTAG